GATCAGATAAGTAGATTAGTTAGATCAGATTAGTAGATAAGTTAGATTAGATTAGTAGATTAGTTAGATCAAATTGGTAGATTAGTTAGATCAGATTATTAGATTAGCTAGATTAGATAAGTAGATTAGTTAGATCAGATTAGTAGATTACTTAGATTAGTTAGATTAGATTAGTTCGATTATTAGATTAGATCAGTAGATTAGTTAGATTAGATCAGTAGATTAGTTAGATTAGTTAGATTAGATTAGTAGATTAGTTAGATTAGATCAGTAGATTAGTTAGATTAGATTAGTAGATTAGTTAGATTAGTTAGATTAGATCAGTAGATTAGTTAGATTAGATCAGTAGATTAGTTAGATTAGATCAGTAGATTAGTTAGATTAGATCAGTAGATTAGTTAGATTAGATCAGTAGATTAGTTAGATTAGATCAGTAGATTAGTTAGATTAGTTAGATTAGATTATTAGATTAGATCAGATCAGTAGATTAGTTAGATTAGTTAGATTAGATCAGTAGATTAGTTAGATTAGATCAGTAGATTAGTTAGATTAGTTAGATTAGATCAGTAGATTAGTTAGATTAGTTAGATTAGATCAGTAGATTAGTTAGATTAGATCAGTAGATTAGTTAGATTAGTTAGATTAGATCAGTAGATTAGTTAGATTAGATAAGTAGATTAGTTAGATTAGTAAGATCAGATTATTAGATTAGATCAGATCAGGAGATTAGTTAGATTAGATAAGTAGATTAGTTAGATTAGTTAGATTAGATCAGTAGATTAGTTAGATTAGATCAGTAGATTAGTTAGATCAGATTATTAGATTAGATCAGATCAGTAGATTAGTTAGATTAGATAAGTAGATTTGATTTGATTTGATTTCATTCAATAACCGACATCATAGCACCAGGGGCATTCCCTTAAGCGCTCCGTCTCCATCTTCAGCCGCCAGCGAAGAGTTCCGATGCTAATGGTGCCAGTATCTTTCTGATTAAATGTCCGTCTTGCCTTTCCTCTGAGCCTCGAGCATCTGTCAGAACCTCTCGTCACTACCCGCTGCATCAATCTCACCAGACTGTGATGATCCATCTGATCCTCAGAATTGTACACGCTCTCCCACAAGGCACTAACCACGTCTGCCCTATCATGTAGCAGTATTCCACCAAGTTGTGCAGAGCCAGTAAAGAGAAGAAAGAAAATAAGAAACAGAATCACTGATCTCACTGTATAAAGTACCAAAAACAGTGATTTCTCTCAATGAGCCTTCTTCGTGTAGAAAACAACTCATGAAAACGCATACATGGGAAATTAGAAATAACTATAATTATTCATGGATGTACGTCAATATACAAGAAACTAAGAACAGAAAAACAATTTACTGATCCAGAAAGGTTCACTTTTAAATTGGGACATTTATTTCCTGACTTTGATTTAAAAATGATCCATGAGGTCTCCGCCCTGCGACATAAAGCCTTGTGCTCTACATGAATGTTGACCCACCTTGGCTCCATCGTGGCATCTTATCCAAGCTGACCACACCAAAGGAGATGATCGGTCATGTCTCCACTATGAGAGATGATCCATGGTGAGTCTAGTATGGGATCAGAGAAATCGTGTCTACACTATAGGAGATGATCCATGGTGAGTCTAGTATGGGATCAGGGAAAACGTGTCTACACTATAGGAGATGATCCATGGTGAGTCTAGTATGGGATCAGAGAAATCGTGTCTACGCTATAGGAGATGATCCATGGTGAGTCCAGTATGGGATCAGAGAAATCGTGTCTACACTATGGGAGATGATCCATTTGAGCCCACGATGGGATTAGATATATGTCTACACTATAGGAGATAATCCATGCTTGAGTCCAGTATGGGGTTAGAGATATCGTGTCTACACTATAGGAGATGATCCATGGTGAGCCCACTATGGGATCAGAGATATCGTGTCTACACTATAGGAGGTGATCCATGGTGAGTCTAACATGGTATCAGAGAAATGCTGTCTTCACTATGGGAGATGATCCTTGGTTGAGTCCAGTATGGGATTAGAGATATCGTGTCTTGCTATGGGAGATGATCCATGACGGGATCAGAGAAATCGTGTCTACACTAAGCAACACTGGGTTCACGACCCCTGACAAGTCAGCAGATGTTTCGGTTTGCTAACAACATGTGATGTTTGAACAGATGTCCTTATCACCGAGAGTAAATTAGTTTCTATTGTTCTGTAGGAAACATGATGAGAGCACAGCTAGTCGATATTACCATCACAGTTGCGGGATACAAAGAGCAGCACCAGATACCTATTTGCGCGAGGACTGGCAACATAATATGTGTCTATAAATAAAGATACATAGGACACACAAACTAATTATCAGTTCTATAATTTATATAAAAACGATTCTGTAAACATCTGGGTTGTGGCGAAACTAGTTATCGAATACATCAAGACTGAAAGCAGTCCGATTCCAATCTGATAATTGTAGTATTGCACATACACTCACTGGACAATTCAATACATCATACGGATGTTAGTGCTATTAGTAGTCATTCTACTTGTAAATGATGCTAATGCAACTACTTGATGATGTTAGGAAATCTTTTCAGACCATTGCGATATAAAGAATCTATCAATACACAATTGTCACCACCTGACTGGCTGATCCAGTGTATTTATCTGCCCCTCTCTGGTGGCTGTTTGTCTCATTGGTAGAGAAAACTGGACAACATGCAGCCTCTCAGACTTGCCGTGTTTCTAACTTTGATTGCTGGACTCAGGGCGTATGGTGCGTAAAAAAATGTTTTTGTTTTTGTAAATATCTATATGGACCCCCCAAAAAAAATAATATGGGAAATTTATCACAGGAAGAAATACTTAGAGAGACAGATATAGAGATAGACTGAAGAGAAAAGAAGAGCACGCAGATAGATATAAAAGAAACTGACATATATAAACAATACTGAATAAATCAGAGACAGCTTCAAAGCAAAAATAAATAGGAAGTAAAACGTGTAATCGAGAACGACTGAGCGAACAAACAAACTTTATTTTCAAAGGGTTACAAATTAGTCACGCAGGCCTGATTTACATTAGCCCTTCGAAACTCCCATCTTTCACACAGCAGTTGTATCTCATCAATAAAGCATGTTATGTTCATGTAATAATATGCATATTATGAATATCAAGTAAAAAAAAAAAAAAAAAGCATGGGTGATACAATATGTGCGCACGCTCGCGCGCGAATACACACACCCACATATACTAGCAAACCCATTTACTCACTTACACACATAAACACTGAGACAAAGAGGGGTAGAGTGAGAGGCACAGAGGGACTGGCTAGAGAGCGATTAACATGTTGAGCTAAGCACTTGTATATTCATAATAAATGTTTCAATAAGCAGAGATAAAAGAGTCACTGACAAAGTTAAGCAGAATTTGAACACTCGATAGGTGTAAAGAGTCATTTTCTCCTTGATTATTAATGTTGGCATTGTGATAAAGTGATTGTTAGAAACTAAATATAAAGTACGTACTCATGGTCAGATGAATGGAACTCAGTAGAAAGTGTGATGTGAGAAGAATTTGAGACAATCGGGCGAATTGGCGAAAGCATGCCAAAGGAAATATAATCTGTATTGTGTGTGTTGAATTTTCAAAAGCACGAGGAAATATTTTTGAGCCTGGGATGATTTAAAATGATCCTAGAGTTGAATGCAAGTTTCACGAAAACCTGGCCAGCAAATTGGTCCGATATGACATAGGAGCTCAGAACCTCCCCTCAGTATGAACCCCAACGTCCGATGGCTAATAGTACCAGTTCTATGTTGATTAAAAAGTCTTCTGGCGTGTCTGGTGTGCGTCTCGTTTTTTGCTGTGCCGATCTTAATTCCCAAGTCTGCCATTCTGGCGAGTGATGTGGATTCACTGCCACCAAAGTCCTCTATCCTTTCCATTTCTCTGAGGGCATTGATAATATCAGCATGATCCATAGGCTGACAGTCGGTAGTGATAGCGGATCCAGCCAACCTGTCAGCTCTTTCATTTCCATCGACGCCTGTGTGTCCCGGAACAAAAATAAATGTGACTCCACGCACAGTGGACTTCTGTAATGATTCAAGCCATTGTCTTCGCACTGAACCTGCCTGAACCCTCCGGATCATACTCATTGAATCACTGAGAATACACACGCAGGTGTATTTTTGTGTTTCAAGCCAGGCAAGCGCTTGCGTCACTGCCATCACCTCCATCGTCATGCTGCTGGTTGTCATGGAGAAGGCGCCGTTGGCTTCTTTGACTGTTCTGCCCGCTGAGCGTGCTGTAAATGCCCATGCGCTTCTTCTTTGGCGTATAACGGATCCGTCTGTATAGATTAGTGCATCTGCTTCGTCTGAATTTTCACCGATGAGAGCGTTGACCTCTGCATTAACAGCAACAGGATTCTCTTCCCTACATCGCCTGTTGAGTGTGACAATACAGGAAAATGTACAAATAAACGCCCGAGGCACATGTATCCATTCTGCACCAGGTATGATGTCGGTTAGGCTGCATATTTGCCTAATAACATCTTCTGCCCGACCTAGCCACGATTTTCCCCTCTTCAGTCTGTCGCCCTTTTCACTAAAAAGCGCTTGATGCAGTGGGTGTTTCTTATCAGCACATATTTTGAAATATGCCCGAGCCCTCCACATCCGGATCCTTTGGTTCATTGTTGGAAAGTCAAGTAGATACCTCATTGCTCCACAGGATGTGTCTCTTGTACATCCCAAAATAATGCGCATGGCTTCATTTTTGCACCTTTTCGAGTCGTTCAATCTGGCTGAGGTGTATTCGATTATTTAGCTGTGATCAAGTGAAAACCTTACCTGTCCTGTTTCTTGGGAGTGTTGTGAAGTGTCGTCTTATAAAAGGTACCAATGATTGTTCATAATACTACAAGTGGCCGAAAAAAGTAGCCCTAGACACGTGACCTCAATTACACTGTGAGTGAACAGGTGTTAGAAGGAGTACAATTTATGGTATCGATCAGCTGTGTTCCACGTGAGTTTGTTCAAGATGTTCAAGTATCTCTCTGTACTGTCTCCATACTGTCTCTGTATTGTCTCCGTACTGTCTCCATACTGTCTCTGTATTGTCTCTGTACTGTCTCTGTACTGTCTCTGTATTGTCTCCATACTGTCTCTGTATTGTCTCCGTACTGTCTCTGTATTGTCTCTGTACTGTCTCTGTACTGTCTCTGTATTGTCTCTGTACTGTCTCTGTATTGTCTCCGTACTGTCTCTGTATTGTCTCCATACTGTCTCTGTACTGTCTCTGTACTGTCTCTGTATTGTCTCTGTACTGTCTCTGTACTGTCTCTGTATTGTCTCTGTACTGTCTCTGTACTGTCTCTGTATTGTCTCCATACTGTCTCTGTACTGTCTCTGTACTGTCTCTGTATTGTCTCTGTACTGTCTCTGTACTGTCTCTGTATTGTCTCTGTATTGTCTTTGTACTGTCTCTGTACTGTCTCTGTACTGTCTCTGTACTGTCTCCATACTGTCTCTGTACTGTCTCTGTACTGTCTCTGTATTGTCTCTGTATTGTCTCTGTATTGTCTGTGTACTGTCTCTGTACTGTCTCTGTACTGTCTCTGTACTGTCTCTGTACTGTCTCTGTACTGTCTCTGTACTGTCTCTGTACTGTCTCTGTGCTGTCTCTGTACTGTTTCTGTATTGTCTCTGTACTGTCTCTGTATTGTCTCCGTACTGTCTCTGTATTGTCTCCATACTGTCTCTGTACTGTCTCTGTACTGTCTCTGTATTGTCTCTGTACTGTCTCTGTACTGTCTCTGTATTGTCTCTGTACTGTCTCTGTACTGTCTCTGTATTGTCTCCGTACTGTCTCTGTATTGTCTCTGTACTGTCTCTGTACTGTCTCTGTATTGTCTCTGTACTGTCTCTGTATTGTCTCCGTACTGTCTCTGTATTGTCTCCATACTGTCTCTGTACTGTCTCTGTACTGTCTATGTATTGTCTCTGTACTGTCTCTGTACTGTCTCTGTATTGTCTCTGTACTGTCTCTGTACTGTCTCTGTATTGTCTCCATACTGTCTCTGTACTGTCTCTGTACTGTCTCTGTATTGTCTCTGTACTGTCTCTGTACTGTCTCTGTATTGTCTCTGTATTGTCTTTGTACTGTCTCTGTACTGTCTCTGTACTGTCTCTGTACTGTCTCCATACTGTCTCTGTACTGTCTCTGTACTGTCTCTGTATTGTCTCTGTATTGTCTCTGTATTGTCTCTGTATTGTCTCTGTACTGTCTCTGTACTGTCTCTGTATTGTCTTCATACTGTCTCTGTATTGTCTCCGTACTGTCTCTGTATTGTCTCTGTACTGTCTCTGTACTGTCTCTGTATTGTCTCTGTACTGTCTCTGTATTGTCTCCGTACTGTCTCTGTATTGTCTCCATACTGTCTCTGTACTGTCTCTGTACTGTCTCTGTATTGTCTCTGTACTGTCTCTGTACTGTCTCTGTATTGTCTCTGTACTGTCTCTGTACTGTCTCTGTATTGTCTCCATACTGTCTCTGTACTGTCTCTGTACTGTCTCTGTATTGTCTCTGTACTGTCTCTGTACTGTCTCTGTATTGTCTCTGTATTGTCTTTGTACTGTCTCTGTACTGTCTCTGTACTGTCTCTGTACTGTCTCCATACTGTCTCTGTACTGTCTCTGTACTGTCTCTGTATTGTCTCTGTATTGTCTCTGTATTGTCTGTGTACTGTCTCTGTACTGTCTCTGTACTGTCTCTGTACTGTCTCTGTACTGTCTCTGTACTGTCTCTGTACTGTCTCTGTACTGTCTCTGTACTGTCTCTGTGCTGTCTCTGTACTGTTTCTGTACTGTCTCTATACTGTCTCTGTACTGTCTCTGTACTGTCTCTGTACTGTCTCTGTACTGTCTCTGTACTGTCTCTGTACTGTCTCTGTACTGTCTCTGTACTGTCTCTGTAATGTCTTTGTACTGTCTCTGTACTGTCACTGTACTGTCTCTGTACTGTCTCTGTACTGTCTCTGAACTACCTATGTACTTCTAAAGCGTGGAGTAAAAAGAGCTGAGAGTAACAACAGGCACCTTCACGTGAGGTTTAGATTCACAAGCCAGACAATAATCAAATGCCCCCTTGATTCCAATGCAGAACTGTCACAGAACCTCACCGAGTTTTACTGTATCATGAACGGCGATTTCACCGACAAAGGGCAGCTGGAGAAAGATGGCAGCAGCCGTACCCCGATCGATGTTAGACTGGTGCCGGTAGTCGCACCTGCATTGTCACCGGTAAATATTTACAAACATAAAAACATATATGCATCACAAAAACACAGACAATATTAAAATAATATTGGCGACAATATTACCCCACCCATTTACAAAAACTCACTGCAACAGGCAGACAGTTCAAGCATTCAGAAAGCCAGTAACGAAGAAACGTTCTCAGTATCAAAGAAGCATTGCACAAGCGAGCTTCTTATAGCTATCTCTGTCTTCAATGGTCCGCCTCGGTCTACGACAGATCTCTTCCAAATGTCTGCCTCAGTCTGCAACAGATCTCTTCCTTATGTCTGCCTCAGTCTGCAATAGATCTCTTCTATATGTCTGCCTCAGTCTGCAATAGATCTCTTCTATATGTCTGCCTCAGTCTGCAATAGATCTCTTCTATATGTCTGCCTCGGTCCGCAGCTGATCTCTTTTTTTTATGTCTGCCTCATTCTGCAACAGATCTCTTCCTGATGTCTGAGTCAGTCTGCAATAGATCTCTTCCATATGTCTACCTCATTCTGCAATAGATCTCTTCCTTATGTCTGCCTCAGTCTGCAACAGATCTCTTCCTGATGTCTGCCACATTCTGCAACAGATCTCTTCCTTATGTCTGTCTCATTCTGCAACAGATCTCTTCCATATGTCTGCCTCAGTCTGCAACTGATATCTTCCTTATGTCTGTCTCAGTCTGCAACTGATATCTTCCTTATGTCTGTCTCAGTCTGCAACAGATCTCTTCCTTATGTCTGCCTCAGTCTGCAACAGATCTCTTCCATATGTCTGTCTCAGTCTGCAACTGATATCTTCCTTATGTCTGCCTCAGTCTGCAACTGATCTCTTCCTTATGTCTGCCTCATTCTGCAACAGATCTCTTCCATATGTCTGTCTCAGTCTGCAACTGATCTCTTCCTTATGTCTGTCTTAGTCTGCAACTAATCTCTTCCTTATGTCTGCCTCATTCTGCAACAGATCTCTTCCTTATGTCTGTCTCAGTCTGCAACTGATATCTTTCATATGTCTGCCTCAATCTGCAACATATTTCTTCCTTATGTCTGTCTCAGTCTGCAACTGATATCTTCCATATGTCTGCCTCATTCTGCAACAGATCTCTTCCTGATGTCTGAGTCAGTCTGCAACAGATCTCTTCCTTATGTCTGCCTCATTCTGCAACAGATTTCTTCCATATGTCTGCCTCATTCTGCAACAGATATCTTCCATATGTCTACCTCATTCTGCAACAGATATCTTCCATATGTCTACCTCATTCTGCAACAGATCTCGTTCATATGTCTGCCTCAGTCTGCAACTGATATCTTCCATATGTCTGCCTCAGTCTGCAACAGATCTCTTCCTGATGTCTGCCTCAGTCTGCAACTGATCTCTTCCATACGTCTGTCTCAGTCTGCAACTGATATCTTCCTTATGTCTGCCTCAGTCTGCAACTGATCTCTTCCTTATGTCTGCCTCATTCTGCAACAGATCTCTTCCATATGTCTGTCGCAGTCTGCAACTGATATCTTCCTTATGTCTGTCTCAGTCTGCAACTGATATCTTCCTTATGTCTGTCTCAGTCTGCAACTGATATCTTCCATATGTCTGTCTCAGTCTGCAACTGATATCTTCCTTATGTCTGTCTCAGTCTGCAACTGATATCTTCCTTATGTCTGTCTCAGTCTGCAACTGATATCTTCCTTATGTCTGTCTCAGTCTGCAACTGATCTCTTCCTTATGTCTGTCTCAGTCTGCAACTGATCTCTTCCTTATGTCTGCCTCAGTCTGCAACTAATCTCTTCCTTATGTCTGCCTCATTCTGCAACTGATCTCTTCCTTATGTCTGCCTCAGTCTGCAACAGATTTCTTCCTTATGTCTGTGTCGGCGTTGTTATCTCCAAGGTCGCGTTAGCATATATCCTTATAGCGTAGCCCTAACCTTCCTGTCGATGTGTTCCTAGTTCCCAGCTCCCGATACAGAAGATTGTTGGCGATGCGACGGTCCTTGGTGCGGGAGACATGTCCCCACAAGTGCAGACGTCTTTGCTTCAGTAGAGAGTACACTGCTGCCACTCCTGCTCTTCCCAGCGACGACAAATGTTCCCCATAATTTACTAAGAATGCACCTCGTACAGCACATGTGAACATTATTCAGTGTTTGTTCCTTGAGAAGCATGAAGAATCTATGTTGTGCTGACGTTAATGTTCTTGCTCAGGACGCAACCTGAGATTCTTGACTATTTTATTCCAATCCCTTTCCTGATTTTCCCCTCCATGCAACACGTCCATTGCTTTTTGTTCCGACGAGTCTGCATCAATACCTATTTCATTCATGTCCGCTTGCATACATAATTATATCGTAGTAGAGGCCGACTTCGACATCTTTTGCTCATCAGTATATGTCCTTCCCATCTATGTATGTATATATACATATAATTATATGAATGTGGTTGTATGTGTGTGTGCATATAAATTATGTATATTCTGATCTAGTATGGCAGATAGGCTGGCTGACTGTTTTAGTTTTCGCAAGTTATTTGCTTTAATCTACTGCAATTTCCTTTATACTGACTGTATTTACTGTATTTAAATTTTGTCGCCTGGCCATCTCACTGAGTTTATGGCGCAACACTGTGAGCTGACGATTCACGTGGGGGTGCTTTGTGACCGTGCCTAGTGTGGTTTGTGTTGTCATCTGAAGATCAGGAGAATGGTGTTGGGTCTGTTGCCACTTAACTATTAGGGCCTTATGTGATGTTGTGTGTGCATGTGCTGATTTGTTGAAACTGCTGCATCTAACTAATACTAACACTAACTAGAAACTAATTAACTAATGAACGAATCAATCATTCCTATGTATATATATATATATATATATATATATATATATATATATATATATATATATATATATATATATATATATATATATATATATATATATATACATAATGGTAAATCATAACTGAAATACCTATACTTGTTCCAGCTGCCAGTCATATACATCGAGGAGTTTTCTGACCTAGTCCTGATTCGGGCTGTGATCCAGATTGTAACAGAAGGAGATGACGGCGTTGTCTACACGGTCCCACACAACTTCAAGGGAAACACAGACATCAAGTTTGTGCCTCTTTGACATCTTCTTCTAATAAAGCGTAATCTGATGTATATTCTCTTCTTCTTCTTCTCTTCTTAAAAAAGACTGAATCGTAAAAACTTTCACTCAGCAGAAATGAGACAAGTTTTTTACCATAATGAGTGAAAGTTTTTACGATTCAGTCTTTTTTAAGAAACATTTACGTCGCCGCATCAGCATGCCAAAAGTAAAGGACTCTTTTCCACGCCTTCTGGTGTATTTGTGCACATAGGGCTAGACCTATATTTTATAGACCAATCGGCACTTGGTGGGTGACGGGGTGAGCATCAGGCCTGCTGCCTGAACTTACAGTACTTTACCTGCTACCATGTAAGGCTGGTCCACCTGGCAGCCATTTTGTGAAACGAACCACCAAAAAAAAAAAAAAAAAATGTCCTACTCCGTTAGAAGCCGACCCCACAAACTTTCGATCCACAAGCAAGCGTCCAACCACTACACCACGGCGACTCCTGCATCAGTATGTGGATAAAAAAAAACATTCCACCGTCGACTAAGATCTATGTCAGAGACGCCACGCCTGGCCAGACCGGTTGCGCTATCCATTACTTCTGGCTGCTCGAAGCGACCTTATGTCCGGTCACGACTTCTTGTCCTGTGATGAACTCATCCCTTTGTTACTGATCACCCACTATAAGCTTCTCGCACACTTTGTGCCGCATGAGACGACAGGAAACCAACTACTTCCTCAGCTTCAGTGGGACACTCTCTAGGTTTGTCTTCCTAACATGTCTCTGGGCCTGACAGTCTCTTGTGTCAACTCACTCTGCGTTACACCTGGACTGCAGTGCTGCCTCTTGATCCACTCATGCTGATCTGATATTTCTCTATCATAATCTACCATTTACAGGTATTTTCTATAACTCTCCACGGTATATCTGTGAAACACTACATTCACTTGCTCACTTTCATCTAGATTTTGTCTCAGCACTTTATATTCTAAACTATTATGATAATTTCATCTGCACAAACGAGAAGCATAAAAATACTTGAACTAAATCATCAATGTTAAATAAGTGCAGATCAATAACACAACAAAGGACAACCCCCCCCCCTTCTTTTTCTTTGTGTGTGTGTGTGTGTGTGTGTGTGTGTGTGTGTGTTTCTTTGTCCGGTCATAAATAACTGGATAACGTGTTGGGGTGATGTGTGTTGGGGTGATGTGTGTTGGGGTGATGTGTGTTGGGGTGATGTGTGTTGGGGTGATGTGTAGTTTTTGCTGATGCGTTTCATGTGTTCTCAGTCTTGCATGGAGTTCAATATTCTACCGCCCTCACAAGCTTCGGGTGTTACCTGATGTTTGTTTTTGTTTATTTCAGCTGGAATGGTAATCTTGTCTAACAATGGTCCGTTTCATCAGTCAGTTGTTGTCTCCTCAAAGAAGGTTGGCTGCAATGGATTTCCAATACGTTCAGTCGCTCGTCTTTGTTGTACACAGTCTAAATAAGACACACTCTCTCAGACTCCTGTAACGTTGTCTACCTTTTGCTCTCTTACTTTTAACTGTTCCCTGCAGTACGGATTTTAAAAATAAATATGTTATATGTTCCATTCCAAGTCTTCCCAGAATGTCTGTAATTGTTTATTGATTGTTGATGGCCTTGAAATGCGACCTGGTATTCTGTATATCCACTTTCCAGAAGGTCTGTAATTGATTTATTTATTGTTGGGGGCCTTGAAATGCGACCTGGTATTCTGTCTATATACTTTCCAGAAACTCAGTTCGATTTTCTAGACGCTTATAATTTGTCTATGTTTATCAGCCATAGAGCAGGGTTGAATATAATATATCATTTGACTGTTCTCATTGTTAATGTGTTGTTGATCTCTCTAGATGCCAAACAGGTTGGCATCTTATTGGAGACACTTCACAAATGCGTGAATACTGAGCGAGTGTAAGTGCATAATAGTCTGTTTCACACTTGACTAAGTACACCAAGCTACATTGGGAATCCCGATGATACGATGAGACAGCACACTAAATATAAATCTTATTTCAGAAATGTCAATGAAAGACATAGTTACTCATGTAATCGATGTAGTCTGAACATGTTTAGAATATATTCCACACAGACCTGGGACTTTCGATGTGAGCAAGATTAAGTCCTTAACCCCGGCTGATCTTCAAGGACGGCAAGAGTGTAAAGACGTCTTCGTTCGTACCCAGCAGCTCGTTTTCAGTGTTAACTATGCTTTATGTAACAAGGAGGCAGTAAACGGGGTAGTCTGTTTGTTTCTCTATCTTGTTTGTTTGCACTGTTTTGTCGTTTCGGGTGTTGTTGTTGCTGTTGTTTTGTTTGTGTGTGTGTGCTCATTGTAGCACCATCTGCTTCACAGAGTCGGCTAATTCACATGTGTTCTGAGTGGCATAGATTCATAACCATGCTACAGCAACAATCTAAACACACACAGACCCATCCACCCACATACACACACACAGCATTATATTAGTGATTATTGAGCAATATCACCACAGCACTCTAGACAGACCCATAGATGCTCCGATCTGCTGCTCAGTAACTCCACGAGAGTACAACAGCTGATCATTGCCGTTCCCTGTTGATTGAACAGCTGTCTCGGACCCTTGTTGACAAGTTCTTGTCTGGCTACTCAAGGCTGCACCCTCCCCTTCCACCCCCATGTCCACTAGACTGGACAAGGAAACTGTGTCCTGCTTGTTGTTATGTTCCATTAGCAATAAACATTTAGGAGTTCATTATTGACATCATTCAGTTGCCGGGTCAGTCGTTGTAACCGCCTTGTCCGCCAGGTAACTTGGACTCTCATGTCCTGGAACATCCGCCTGGCCTACACAAACATGGAGGTTAGGCGAATTATTTGTGATGCATTTACTCAGAGATTCCATTCTTGTTTGATAAAGCCAGACTCGATATACTTAAGCATATTGAAGTAACGGAGTCTCTCTAATCATCAGAACTACAGACAATCACCGTTTAGATACGTTATTTTTGTCGGACAATCAGCTCTGTCGTACAGATTATATTCTATTCATACAGACAATAATATATACCCTATGGACAATCATATATGTTATATACAACTCATATAAGTCATATAGGCTATCACATATACCATACAGACAATAATGTATGACATTATACAATTATATATATATATATCATACGGAAAATCATATATACAATACAAACAATCATTTATACCAAACATACAATCACAAATGCCATGGGACAATCCTATTTGTCATCCAAACAATCATTTACAGAGATAATAATATATACCAAACAGATAATCATGTATGTCATACGCACAATCATAAATAACATACAGACAATCATATGTACAATACACATAATTATTTATGTCGTAAAGACAAACAATTACGTAATACAGACCATCATATATGCCCCACAGACAATCATATGTGTCATATTGAAAACCACATGTACCCTACAGACAATCATATATGCCATCATCATCATCATCATGTGCCCTGCCAGCTGGCGTAGGCGCTCATGCGTCTCAGCAGATCACAATCCCTGGTTGACTGGAACAGCTCTCTCGATAATATCCTCCCGTGCCATCGTTTTAGCCCATCCATTATCTTCTCTCTTGGTCTACCTCTACCCTTTTTTCCGCTGATCTTTCTAGTTGTCACGATGTTCTCCAATGTTTCTCTCCTCACTATGTTTCCAAAGAACAATGTTTGTCTCTTTCTTATTGTTGTATATATAGATCTACTTTCATTACCATCTTTTAATCAATCGTTGTTAGTTACTCTGGCCGTCCAAGTTATCACATTCGTCTCAGTAACCACATCTCTGTTGCTTCCACATTCTTCTAAATTTGTTCACATACATTCCACTATTCGCTGCCATACAGCAGAACAGATTCTATGTAGCATTTTAGCACATTCTTTCTGACATTAAATGATAGCGATTTATTGCCTAAGAAATGTTTTGTTATTTTCTGAAATGCTGCTTTCGCTTGACCTATTCTGCTTTTAATCTCTGTCATACACTTTCCATCTGATGACAATCAGCTCACCATTTATGTCATTAAGACAATCAAATATGTCAAACAGAGAATCATTTTTGTCAAACTGAGAATCAAATATGTCATTCATAAATTTATGTATGTGAGACAAACAATCATATATCTCATACAGACAACCACATATATCTTTTGGGAAATCATACAAGTCTTAGAGACAATTATCTATGTAGATATCTTCAATAATTTGGCTTTTTTTAAAAATACAAATTTGTCGGGAAACCATTGATCAGGTCGGGAAATCATAGATTGGGTCAGGAACTAGTAGATGAGGTTAGTAACTAGTAGATGAGGTCAAGAACTAGTAGACGAGGTTAGTAACTAGTAGATGAGGTCAAGAACTAGTAGACGAGGTTAGTAACTAGTAGATGAGGTCAAGAACTAGTAGACGAGGTTAGTAACTAGTAGATGAGATCAACACCTAGTAGATGAGGTTAGTAACTAGTAGATGAGGTCAAGAACTAGTAGATGAGGTTAGTAACTAGTAGATGAGGTCAAGAACAAGTAGATGAGGTTAGTAACTAGTAGATGAGGTCAGCAACTAGTAGATGAGGTCAAGAACTAGTAGATGAGGTTAGTAACCAGTAGATGAGGTCAAGAACTAGTAGATGAGGTTAGTAACTAGTAGATGAGGTCAAGAACAAGTAGATGAGGTTAGTAACTAGTAGATGAGGTCAAGAACTAGTAGATGAGGTCAAGAACTAGTAGATGAGGTTAGTAACTAGTAGATGAGGTCAAGAACTAGTAGACGAGGTCAAGAACTATTAGATGAGGTCAAGAACTAGTAGATGAGGTTAGGAACTAGTAGATGAGGTCAGGAACTGGTAGATGAGGTCAGGAACTAGTAGATGAGGTCAGGAACTAGTAGATGAGGTCAGGAACTAGTAGATGAGGTCAGGAACTGGTAGATGAGGTCAGGAACTGGTAGATGAGGTCAGGAACTAGTAGATGAGGTTAGGAACTAGTAGATGAGGTCAGGAACTAGTAGATGAGGTCAGGAACTGGTAGATGAGGTCAGGAACTAGTAGATGAGGTCAGGAACTAGTAGATGAGGTCAGGAACTAGTAGATGAGGTCAGGAACTAGTAGACGAGGTCAAGAACTAGTAGACGAGGTCAAGAACTATTAGATGAGGTCAAGAATTAGTAGATGAGGTTAGGAACTAGTAGATGAGGTCAGGAACTGGTAGATGAGGTCAGGAACTAGTAGATGAGGTCAGGAACTAGTAGATGAGGTCAGGAACTAGTAGATGAGGTCAGGAACTGGTAGATGAGGTCAGGAACTAGTAGATAAGGTCAGGAACTAGTAGATGAGGTTAGGAACTAGTAGATGAGGTCAGGAACTAGTAGATGAGGTCAGGAACTGGTAGATGAGGTCAGGAACTAGTAGATGAGGTCAGGAACTAGTAGATGAGGTCAGGAACTAGTAGATGAGGTCAGGAACTAGTAGATGAGGTTAGTAACTAGTAGATGAGGTTAGTAACTAGTAGATGAGGTTAGTAACTAGTAGATGAGGTTAGTAACTAGTAGATTAGGTCAGGAACTAATAGATGAGGTCAGGAACTAGTAGATGAGGTCAGGAACTATTAGGTGAGCTTAGTAACTAGTAGATGAGGTCAGGAAGTAGTAGATGAGGTTAGTAACTAGTAGATTTGGGGAGCATATTTGGTGCAAAATAAGCTTTAGTATTGATTCATGCATTTTGTGATCACAAAAAAAAAAAAAAATGGTGAAATTCAAAGTATTCATTAAGGTGTTCACAACAATGACGTGACGTAATTTAAGGAGTCCACATATCTGTACCAAAAATATAACACAATGTGTAACATATATATGTATACAAATATTTATATATACTCAAGTGACTTTCTGGCGGAAGACAAGAGAATATATATACTTTCTTAGGCTGGCTGCAGCCTTCGATAAGTGGGACACAGTAGAAGGACGTTTTGACTGTGTCAACATTGCAGTGTAGAAGAAATCTTTAAACTGTATCCAAGACCTCTATCCTCAACTAAGTAGCTGGAGTTGAACAAAGACCTGATTCTACTAAATGACACCCTCGCGCAAATTCTTTGTTCCATAATTCCCACCGTGCTAGTCTCATTATACTTTTACACATGATAGTTTTTATTGTATTTTTTAGACCGTGTAGAAATATTTCCTTTGTTTTTATAAAGATAATCTAGGTTTTATTTACTTCTGATGTTATTTCATGAATGCTGTAATACTGCTTAATGACGAGATTGAATAATAACATATACTGATAACTAAAGGCTACGATGACAATATTGCAGCAACACGCATCTTATGGAGCCACGATAACCTGTGACGAAGATGACACACTTGTCCCCGCGGGTGCTCCTGAGAAGTCGACTCTTGTTCCGTACCGAATCAGACGCCATGGACAAAAGTAGGTCCTAAGTTTGATTTAAGTGACTGCATTACCACCGGCCTTTGTTTTACTATGTAGGGAGTGTGCATTGTCCCCTTCTGTTGAGAGTAGTTGGTTCTTTTGGTGAGTTATCGCAACACGTGATATTTCCCCTGCAATTTATACCTGTCCTTATTTCTTCTGTAAAGCCACATCTCTTCACCTACCACACAATGTTTCCCAATCATATGACTGTCCATGATTCACCCCCATACACCACGACTGGCGCTATATGACTCTTACCAACATGATTGCTGTCTTGAATTATGCACAACGGGATTGCAGAGAATATTCGACATCCTGTGAAATGCAGCGCTGGCTTGTGCTGTTTGGCATTACAATTAACCAACACATCTTTCAATTAAGATTATCCGTAGTTCTTCACACTTGTATTGTTTACTTTGATAGAACATTTACATTCGAGGGGCCACAGTTTTTCCTTAGTAATTACCACTGTATTGTCCTAGGATGGCTGGTCTGGCACACTGTAACTGCTGTGTCCATCTTCCGTGTAGCTTCATGCATTTTAATTGTACCCATAAAAAATTATATCCTCACTATATCGATTTTGTTTACCTCATATCAAAGAACGGATGCTCCCGTCATACATTGGAAGGCTTTCCTTATTGTTTACCTTATATCCAAGAACGGATACTTACGTCATACCTTTAAAGGCTTTCCTTATTGTTTACCTCATGTCCAAGAACAGATGCTCTCGTTTTACCTTGGATGGTTTTCCTTATTGTTTACCTCATGTCTGAGAAAGGATGCTTCCATCATACCTTGGAAGGCTTTCCTAATTGTTTACCTCATGTCTAAGAAAGGATACTCCCGTCACACCTTGGAAGGCTTTCCTAACTGTTTACCTCAAGTCTAAGAACGGATACTTCCGTCATAGCTTTAAAGGCTTTCCTTATTGTTTACCTCATGTCCAAGAACAGATGCTCTCGTTTTACCTTGGATGGTTTTCCTTATTGTTTACCTCATGTCTAAGAAAGGATACTCCCGTCACACCTTGGAAGGCTTTCCTAACTGTTTACTTCAAGTCTAAAAACGGATACTTCCGTCATAGCTTGGATAGCTTTCTTTATTGTTTACCTCATGTCCAAGAACGGATGCTTTCGTCATAGATTGGATGGCTTTCCTTATTGTTTACCTCATGTCCAAGAACGGATGCTCCCGTCATAGCTTTGATGGCTTTCCTTATTGTTTTACCATTCCACATAATAGCTCGGATGAGAGCGATCAGCTCTGACACATTCTTTCTGTTGAAAAGTTCCGGTTTGCTTGTCAAATTATTTGACTTCTTCTTAGTAAAAGCATTTAAAGAACAAATGTCAGCTGACAGATCAAGCAGCTGACAACATGGCTGTGTGAAAGATCAAGTGGCTGATAACAGGGATGGGTGACAGATCAAACATGTGACTAGAGGATGAAGTGGCAGATCAAAGATCTGACAGAAGGGCTGGGCGACAGATCAAACATGTGACAACAGGGCCGTATGACAAATCAAACATCTAAGAACAGGGCTGTGTCACAGATCAAATATCTGACAAAAGGGCTATGTGACAGATCGAACACGTGACAACAGAGCCATGTGACAAAAGAAACATCTGACAGCAGAGCTGTGTAACAAATGTAACAAATCAAACATCTGACCAAAGGACTGTATGACTGACCAAACACTTTTCAGTGGGACTGAGTGGGACATCAACCAGATGATCACGGGGCTTTTTGGCAATGTAACTGTTATTGAATATGACAGGTCATCAAAGTGTGACAGTCGAAACAGGCATGCAATTTTTTGTTTTGTTTTGTTACAGGTACCCACTGGAGGATGCTCCTGGCAATTATGTTTGTAACTGTGATAACTCAAGTGACTGAGGCAGACAACTGACAGCACAAAAGTGACCGAGGGAGACAACTAATAAAATACTAATAATTAAGGGAGATAAATGGGACCACACAAATAAATTGAGGAGATAACTGAGATAGCACAACTAACTGAGAGAAACAAGTGAGATAACACGAATAACTGAGGGAGATAACACAAGTGACTGAGAAAGACAACTGGTAGAACAAAAGGAACACCATAAATAACTGACAGAGTCAACAGAGATAACACACATAACTGAGAGAGATAACTGAGATAACAAAAACAACTAAGGGAGACAAGTGAGATAACACAAATAACTGAGAGAGATAACACAAGTGAATGATAGAGACAAATGATATAACACACACAAAAACTGAGGGAGATAACGGAGATAACCCATATCTATGGGAGATACAACACAAAAAACTAAGGGAGACAAGTGATAAGACACAAATAACTGGGGGGGGGGGGGGGGCGGGATAACACAAGTGACTGATAGAGGCAACTGATATAACACAAAAAACCGAGATAGACAACTGCTAGAACACAAGTGACCAAGGGAGACAAATGATAGAACACAAGGACCTGAGATAACACAGGTTTCTGAGTGAAAAAACAGAGATAACACAAGTAACTGAGGGAGGCAACTGAGATAATACAAGTGACCAAGGAAGACAACTGAGAGAAGACAAGTGATTGACGGAGACAACTGAGAGAACACAAGTGACTGATGGAGACAACTAAGAGAAGAAAAGTGATTGATGAAGACAACTGAGAGAACACAAGTGACTGATGGAGACAACTGAGAGAAGACAAGTGATTGATAGAGATAACTGAGAGAAGACAAGTGATTGATGGAGACAACTGAGAGAACACAAGTGACTGATGGAGACAACTGAGAGAAGACAAGTGATTGATGGCGACAACTGAGAGAACACAAGTGACTGATGGAGACAACTGAGAGAAGACAAGTGATTGATGGAGACAACTGAGAGAACACAAGTGACTGATGGAGACAACTGAGAGAAGACAAGTGATTGATGGAGACAACTGAGAGAAGACTAGTGATTGATGGAGACAACTGAGAAAAGACACGTGATTGATGGAGACAACTGAGAGAACACAAGTGACTGGTGGAGACAACTGAGAGAAGACAAGTGATTGATGGAGACAACTGAGAGAACACAAGTGACTGATGGAGACGACTGAGAGAGGACACGTGATTGATGGAGACAACTGAGAGAACACAAGTGACTGAATGAGCCAAATGAAATAAAAGAAAGTGACCGAGGGGGACAACTGAGAGAACAAACGTGACTGAGGGAGACAACTGAGAGAACACAAGTGACTGAGGGACACAAGTGAGATAACACAAGTTACTAAGAGAGACAAGTGATATAACCCCACAGACTGAGGGATACAGCTGAGAGAACACAAGTGGCTGAATGAGACAAGTGAAATACAAGAAAGTGGCCGAGGGAGACAAGTGAAATACAAGAAAGTGACCGAGGGAGACAACTGAGAGAACACACGTGACTAAGGAGATAACTGAGAGAACACACATGACTAAGGGAGACAACTGAGAGAACACCAAAGACTTGGAAACAGCTGAGAGAACACGAGGAATATACGTCTGATCAGAAAATCAGCAGAGATAATATTATCAGTTAGGCAGAGATATGATAACATAAGCGGCAAGGGGAAACTATACAATCCACAAAACGGGAACAACATGCACGACCTTGCATAAAAACTGTTAAACTGATGGAAGCCAATCACACAGTGCAAGCGTCTGATGGAGACACATCACATAGTGTAGGCGTCAGATGGATACACATCACATAGTGTAGGCGTCTGATGGATACACATCACATAGTGTAGGCGTCTGATGGAGACACATCACAAAGTGCAAGCGTCTGATGTTGACACATCACACAGTGCAGGCGTCTGATGTTGACACATCACATAGTGCAAGCGTTTAATGGAGACACATCACATAGTGCAAGTGTCTGATGTTGACACATCACATAGTACAAGCGTTTGATGGAGACACATCACATAGTGCAGGCGTCTGATGTTGACACATCACATAGTACAAGCGTCTCATGGAGACACATCACACAGTGCAGGCGTCTGATGTTGACACATCACACAGTGCAGGCGTCTGATGTTGACACATCACACAGTGCAGGCGTCTGATGTTGACACATCACATAGTACAAGCGTTTGATGGAGACACATCACATAGTGCAAGCGTCTGATATTGACACATCACATAGTACAAGCGTTTCATGGAGACACATCACATAGTGCAGGCGTCTGATGTTGACACATCACATAGTACAAGCGCCTGATGGAGACACATCACACAGTGCAGGCGTCTGATGTTGACACATCACATAGTACAAGCGTTTGATGGAGACAAATCACATAGTACAAGCGTCTGATGGAGACACATCACATAGTGCAGGCGTCTGATGGAGACACATCACATAGTGCAGGCGTCTTATAGAGACACATTACATAATGCAGGCGTCTGATAGAGACACATTACACAGTGCAGGCGTCTGATGAAGACACATCACATAATGCAGGCGTCTGATGTAGACACATCACATAGTGCAGGCGTCTGATGAAGACACATCACATAATGCAGGCGTCTGATGGAGACACATCACATAATGCAGGCGTCTGATGTAGACACATCACACAGTGCAGGCGTCTGATGGAGACAAATCACATAATGCAGGCGTCTGATGGAGACACATCACATAATGCAGGCGTCTGATGTAGACACATCACATAATGCAGGCGTCTGATGTAGACACATCACTGAAGGGTCCTCTGTGATGGTACACCTACAAGTGATTTCCTACAGGTGTTTGCAAAACAGGAATCTGAGAGTGATAACATGGAACGTGGCCCTAAACAAGCATAATTAAATTAGTTGCACATACTAGGTAACTATATTTTCACATTTTGTGAGAAAGAAAAGAAAAAGAAAAACAGACCGTTCACTTTATAAATCCTTGTTCAAACTGTCACTGAATTTTGCAATAAATATTGTACAAAACTAAAATGCGTCAATGTTTTTCAAAATTGTGTATGAGTGCAATGACTCTCTGGTTCTATTCATTTGCGGTCTACTCTGACACATTCTTGAGAACTGTACCAGAGCCAACTGAACCAGGAACACACGTTAAATACACAGCAAACAGCTGATAACGATTCAGTTTATTCTACAACGATGTCCGGCCAATTAACACAATGCCAGAGGTCAATCATGTGCTGGGGCCTTAGGTCTTAGTGTCTTAGACAAGCATGTCGGTATTGACATCAAACATAAAGATTCACACTGTCACTTCATCTCACGTTGACACGTCACAAAACTCACAAGATGGCATCAGAAACCACAGCCACAGCGGACTTTCACTGCTCCATTCCATGTTCTTATGGACTGATTAGCCAAGTTTCTCTGCGTTGTCAAATTGAAACAACCATGCATTCGTTTGTTCAGGGTTCGTTCAATACACGCGGGTCAACCTCCAACAAGACCAGATCGGAACAAGACTTACCCTTCTAGATCATTCCCCGCTTTAATATGTTTTCCTCTCGGGTTTTAGAACGTACCACACATGTTTCCTTCTTTCTACTCTAGCACGTTCCAGCGAAACTCCACACTTGCCTAGAGTTATTCATTATACTTCGTACATATACCATTCAACTAAATGCAAGCTTATAATGTGTGTTTCGTATTTAAGCTCACTTCCAAATACAAACATTATTTAACATTTTTAAATCCCCCACCCCGCCCCCCGGGCGACCTTCCCCTTTAAAAAAAAAGGTTTACATTCTCGTATAGAAGGGTAATATCACAACAATTTCATTTACACTTAATATACAGTATGTGTTTTTGGATGAAGAATCTTTGACTGCACAGATTCATTTTCGTCAGGTTCATTGCTTCTTATTTGATTAAGTTTAAACGTCAGCCAGTCTAAACTGTCCTCAACACGGCTTTCCTATGACTGAGACTAGCTGGATGAGAGCCTCACCCCAGACACTTCTAATTTAGTGCGGAAGACTAACATTTGGATCCACAGTTATCTCCACCTAGTCCTAAAGTTTGTATTACACAAAACATCCACATGGCCCTTGGATAAGTGTGGAAGTTCAAAAATTATGTTCATATTGATCACAGCTGAGATGTTGCAATGTTCAAAGCCCATGTTGGTCACAGCTGAGATGTTGCAATATTCAAGGCCCATGTTGGTCACAGCTGAGATGTTGCAATGTTCAAGGCCCATGTTGGTCACAAATGAGATGTTGCAATGTTCAAGGCCCATGTTGGTCACAGCTGAGATGTTGCAATGTTCAAGGCCCATGTTGGTCACAGCTGAGATGTTGCAATGTTCAAAGCCCATGTTGGTCACAAATCTAAGTTTCTGACACATTTTCTGAGAAAATAATGTTCACATTTAATTATTCTAAAGTGGGGGAGGTCGGAGGAGGAGGGTAGAGATGGCCAGAACAACATACTGCAGCGCCCCTGGGTAGGGAGGAGGGTAAAAAGAGCCAGAACAACATATTGCAGCGCCTCTGGGTGAGGAGGAGGGTAAATGGGGCCAGAAAAACATATTGCAGCGCCCCTGGGTGGGGATTAGGGTAAATAGGGCCAGAACTTAATACTGCAGCCACCTCCCCCCCCCATGGGTGGGGAGGAGGATAAAGATGGCCAGAACAACATACTGCAGCGCCCCTGGGTGGGTAGGAGGGTAGGGAATGCCCGATGGACCTCAGGGCTTGATTCCGGCTCTTGACGTCTAGCTAGGACTGTTTTCAAAGGTTACCTTGGCTCCCAGGTCGACCAAGCCATAAGTGGCTCCTGGTAGAGTCCCTGCACGAAATGACAGCGGTAGTGCTGATTAATCGGTAGCATTTGTGAACTGACCACAGACATACCGGAACTCCGGAATCCCCGGCAATCCCCAGAAAGTCCAGTAGTCTA